ACTCTCTCTTAGTATATAAGTATATATAAGTATACTCTCTCTTATATAAGTATATATATGTATAAGTATATATAAGTATACTTTCTCTTATATAAGTATATATAAGAATACTCTCTCTTATATATGTATAATGTATGTATGTATGTATATATATACTCTCTCTTTTAGTATATATGTATATATAAGTATACTCTCTCTTATATATGTATACTCTCTCTTATATAAGTATATATAAGTATACACTCTCTTATATATGTATAATGTGTATATATATATATACTAATATACTCTCTCTCTTAGTATATATGTATATATAAGTATACTCTCTCTTATATATGTATACTCCCTCTTATATAAGTATACTCTCTCTTATATATGTATAATATGTGTGTGTGTGTGTGTGTGTATACTCTCTCTCTTAGTATATAAGTATATATAAGCATAGTATATTACAACGGCTACTTATGCGATTCTCTCTCTCTCAAGTTATAACTTATAAATATATACAATATATTTACATATAATATATGTATATATAATATATAGTTACATAATAATTTGTAAGTATATACTAATACATAATTATATAAAATATAATAATGTTAAACTAATTTTTAGCATTTTTTTATAAAAAAAGAAAAGAAAAGAATTTAAAAAAACCTAGTTGGGATGTACTTATCTATTGTGATGCGATGAATTCCAAAATAAATTTATACTTGTAATTTGTAAATGATTTATTAATTATTAATAAATAATTTATTTTTATAATTTTTATTTGTAATTTATGTTATTTTAAGTGATTAATAAAATTATTGTTTTTTATTAATTTTTTTGTTTTTTTTTGTATAATTTAAATTTTAAATAGAATTTAAAAAAAAGAAAATAAACCGGGCCGGCCCGGTCGGGCCCGGGCCCGGGGTACCCGGGTCCGGGTCCGGGCTCCGATTTTGCCCGGCCCGGGCCCGGATTTCCGGGCCGGGCCGGGCCGGGCCGGCCCGGATGGACAGGCCTATATACCACCATCCATCTGATTGAGCTCAACCTGAGCATATACCTCTCAAAATAAGAACTCATGCACGGAACATAGTTGCCTTCAATCTGAATGAGCTCAACATGAGATTATAATCATGTAAAAACCCTAACAAAAGAGAACTCAACAACTCAGAAAACCAAATGGCATAGCTCCATCAAATAATATGCTAAAACTGAGCATGTATGCATGATTGAGCTCAGCTTGTGCATATAATCATGAAAACACCAAATAAAAGAGAACTGAACATGAACCATCAACATGAAAGCAGCAAACCAAATAAAATCAAATTTGAGAGCTGAGAATTGAGTATAAACTATCCAAAATTAGCATAATACCAAATATACACCATCATTATGCTTATTGATCCAACCTGTGGATGTAAACACAAAAACCGTAAATAAAAGAAAACTCAAAGAGCTCAACAACTCAAAAATTAGCACCCATGAAACAAACACCGTCCATCTGATTGAGCTCAACCTAAGCATATACCACTCAACATAAGCACTCATGAGCCGAACATAGTTGCCCTCAATCTGATTGAGCTCAACATGAGCTTATAATCATGTAAAAAACTAACAAAAGGGAACTCAAAAACTAAATGACTCAGAAAACTAAATGACATAACTCAATCTAATAATATGCTCCATTGAGCATGTACGCATGATTGAGCTCAACCTGTGCATATAATCATGATGATACCGAACAAAAGAGACCTCAACATTAACCATCAACATGAAAACACCTAACCAAATAAAATCAAATTTGAGAGTTGAGAACTGAATATAAACTACATAAAAATTAGCACAAATTGCCATACATAAACCATCATTGTGCTTATTGATCTAGCCTGTGTACATAAACTCTCTCTTTTTAGCCAAATTAAGCTCAATTCAAAAAGAAGATAAAAGATTTACCATGAACAAGTAAGCAAGAATGATCCAACCCGCATTTTTTTGGGTGAAGATGAACTTCAGCATGAACCCAATCAAAACCATGGTTGTCACCAACCGTCGGCTTCAGCATGCCGGCGAGGTCCAGAACGACGAGTCCCAAAAATCCATGGATTGAATTGAAACCGCGAGACAGAGGGAGGGCGGTGACGAGATGGAGGTGGCGACTCCAATACTCAATGATTTCGAGCTTCTGGTTGGGTTTGCACAACGGGAGGGGAAGGAGAAATAGTAGGCTTCGGTCGGCTTTGCACTGTTAGACCCTAGAGGGGGGGTGATTAGGGTCTTAAGCTAATCTAATCCGATTATATGCCAATTAAAACTTATTAACAAGTTATCCTAGCAAGTATAAAATACAACAATGTATGTGAGCTAGGATAAGCAATATGAACAACAAGATATATCCTAACAAAGAGATATATGCAATGTATGTGCAAGGATATATAAACTCAAGGGTAAACAATCTAAACTAGATAGTGGGCAATATATTCAACAAGCAATAAATAAAGACGATATAAGATATGAACATAAAAGAGTGCGCCAATGCAATCGCAAACAAACAATATGATTACGGAGTTCGGTCCCCACGACCTACGTCTCAGCTCCTCACCTCGAGGAGATCTCCACTATCTCAACCGGGTTTTCTACGTTCACCCGAACAATGTTTACACCTCACAATACAATCACTATGCAATCACACCTCACACACTCAGTGTTGGTCCTAGCCCGTGTCCTCCTCCTCAAGTGCTCGGTTACAACCTCTCCCTAGGCACGTCAACCGACGCCACTCCTCTTGGATTCGACCCCGTCTCTCACCACACACTTCTCTCGGTGTACAAGTGTATTACAAGTGAATCCTCACAATTAAGCACAATATAAAAAATGATTGTTCTCTCTAACAAGGTGAGAACTCAATTAGGCTCAACTCAATATCACACTATCTCACAACCTAATTATATAATATATGCAAATATAATAAGCTCAATGGTTGTGTGTGTAAAGAAAGAGTAAATCAAATCAAACTAAACTCAATATAAAACTAGCTTTAATAGAAATGATAATCAACAAATAATTATAGATAAAAGCTAGAGTTGAGTTTAGGAAAACTTCTCTAGATCAAGATGGAGAGATGAAGATATGAGCCCAAACAAGAAGATAATCTCCTCCACTTGTGAAAACCAAAACAGCTTAAACCAAACCCTTAAACAAGCTTAAACAAGCTTAAACCCTTCTTCAAACCCTTGTTTAAAAACTTCTTCGCTTTTTTTTAAAACATTTCTTGAGTGCTTGAAAAGAGATCAGCAATTGGGTATTTATACCCACTCAAGATCTCAACAAGAACCCAAAACCAAATGACAAAATAGCCCCAAACAAATCAGCTCAGAAATAGCCGTTAGGAGACAACGGCTCTATTGACGGTCGACCGACAGAACGTTCGGTCGACCGAAAGAAAGAATTCGGTCGACCGACGGAAAATCCGGTCTACCGCGAGCAGGTCTGGAAAACAAAGAAACAAGCAGAGACTTCGTCGGTCGACCGGTGCGGTCGACCGATGGAGTTTTT